CGGGCCGATGTAGATGCTGCTTATATAGCTCTCATAGTACATATTGGAATTACATTGTTGCCCCTCTTGTTGAAAATTGACGGGCTTGGCCCAGTTACTTTAAGGCCCACTGTCATGCATGTAGTATCCCAGAAAAGAATTAACGGATTTGATAATGAGACGGGAATGCGGAGAGATACGGGGGTAAAAGAGTAAACCCAAGAAATAGAAAACTTTTTAAATTAATAATAACAAATCTAAAATCCTACATGAACTTGTTCCCCTTATATTAGGTACAAAATAATGAAAAGGTAAAGTACCAAACTATCTTTTTCCCAAAACTAAGAGAAATCCTTACATAAAAAAACTTTCTATAAAAGCTAGAAAACTAAAAAAATAAACAGAATTCCACACGCAGTTGAGCTTGAAGACGATTATTTTTTTAACACAAATATTATGTGGAACCCCGATTTTTTTTATGTATAGAGCATTTCCCGAGCTTTCAAAAAATATGTAACAATGAAGATTCCATGAAGCGAGTCAAAAGCTACGATCATCCGAAATTGAATCTTACAATCTGTCCGAAAATATTCTTTTGCTTCAAGCGTCCCACTTTTTGCATGATCGGACTTCTTCCAGTAGACATCAATCAATTATTGACATCCTCTTCATTTGACTCATTGAATTGAAAACATGCTCATTACGTTCTTTCCAAATGAGTAGGCGATTAGCAAGGCTGTACAATTCCATTTGTGCCTTGTGCTAATGGATATTGCACTCGGGCACCAATTAAGAGGGTGTTTGGGAAGGCTTATTTTTTTAAGTTTATAAGTTATGCTAGCTTTTAATGACTTTTAGCTTTTATAATAAAATATTATAAATTTTTTTTTGGGTGGTATGGTAATTTGTTTTGTCAAGCCTAGCTTATTTAGCCCCCCCCCAACGCTCTTTAAATCTGGAGTTCTTCGAATAAGGTCGGCCAACACGTGAGGCTGAATTATAGTTTAAGGGTGTGTTTGGATTTCAATGGGGTTAAGGAAAGTTAAGGGAAACTAGGTGAGAGAATGGAAGGGAAGGGAAGGGAGTTCCCTTCCCCCTTGGTTACACCCAAATTTGGGGGGTAACAAATTTTATACTATTAGGGGGTGAACCAAGGGGAACTAGGGTGAATAACTTCACCTTCTAAATGTTCCCAAACAAGGTGAATGGTTCCCCTAACTTCCCTTCACCCTTATTCCCCTCAATCCAAACAAGACCTAAAGTAGGTCCAAATAAAAAGGGTGAAACTGTAATGAAGGACAAATGAGCTCCATCATAGTTCAAAAAAGCACCTAAATGATGTTCGATCCAATACCTCGTTCGAAAAGATTGTCACTAGTTAAAAGATAGTCAAAGTAGATGAACTACACAAGTAGTGGAACCTTAAAAGGAGTTGATATATGGTTTACTGTATAATACGAGCGTCACAGCTTCCGTAGCATAGTGGTAGTGCGTTCGCTTCGTAAGCGAAAGGTCGCGAGTTCGATCCTCGCCGGGAGCTGCTTCTTTATTCTTTTTCCTTTTTTCCTATCAATCTCTCCCTCTTTCTCCTCTCTGATCACTTTTGTAGAGCTACGATCTATACAAAACCTTCATTTTTCTGAGATTCTATAATTATTTTATTCATTTACTTATTTATTTGTTCTTCATCTTCCTTTTGTCTCTTTACATAGCTCTAGTCATCAAGCATCAGCAGAGGAAACAAGGTAATTTTTTTTACCCAATCCCTAATCTGCATCTTATATAGGGTTAGGGTTTTTGGCCTAGATGCTAAAGTTTTTATCTTTTGTATCAGATTGAGCGTATGGCCGCGGGAATGGAAATCCCTCTTCCAATGAATAAGCTCTCACTTGAATCTCCAAATGAAGCTGGAGATTCCGAAACACAAAATGGGTACTACCTCATATTTCATTATTAGAAAATACATGAGGTTTTTTTGTTTTATGTAATCTTTGTGGTACAATTTTTTTTTTAGGAATGGTAAATTTGTAGCTTTGGTATCAACTGGAAGTTTCAATCCTCCAACCTACATGCATTTGCGCATGTTTGGTAATTAAACCTTGTCGATTTCTTGAAGAATTAGTTCGATAGTTTATCAGAAATTTTAAGAAATTAAACTTGCTATTTCCATTCTGTATATATAGAGCTGGCGAAAGATGCACTACAGGCAGAAGGGTATGTTGTGATTGGAGGCTACATGTCACCGGTGAATGATGCATACAAGAAGAAAGTAAGTAAAGTCTTGTTAATTCTCTCATTAATACAAGATATATGCAAAAAGAATAGGTCTTTTTCCCTGCTAGATACCAGATTTAGTTATTACTTCATTGGTGTTTCATAATTTTGATCAGTATTGTTCGTTACCAAAATGCCAACCAAAGAAATTATGGATAAGAGAATAGCGCTTGGTAAACCGAGAATGCTAGTCGGTAGGCAAGAGAACCTGCCTTGGTTGGTTGTGCAATATAAACTTGTGCAGCTAAGGAACTGCCCTTGAAAATTATTCTATTTTAGACCAATGAAGAGCTATATGAACGAAAAATATAATAAGTTTTCTGTAGGGAATTACAGTCAATTCAAGGCAGAGACAAAGCAAAACAGAAAACAGTCGTAGTGTTGATTATCCTACAATGTTGATATTCTTTAAGGTGACTGAAAAGCTTGGTTATTAGTGAATGTTAATACCTTGAGTTTTGATCAATTCCAAACAGTTTAGTTGTAGTGATACCCGTCAATTTATGACATGTTTGTGGATGTTTTGGATTACACAGTAATTTTTAATACTAAATTTCTACCAATATAATCAATATATGATTCTCCTAACAATCCCAATTATCAGTTCCAATCTAGGGAGATTATAAAAATAAATCTTTTCCATATGTTATCAGAAGGTTCTAATTCTGTGATCACTTGTCTGCTGGGAAACTATACATTTTCTTTTATTATGACAACCTTCTTAATGTAGATATGTATATGTGTTAGTCTACATTCTGAAATGCCTCGGATAATTGTTTTAGACTATGCTTCATCTGACTAAAGCCTGCTTTCTCTTGTCTACCATGGGTTTCACCACGCATCTGCTCATGTTGTTTATATTTTTTTTCCTGAATTAGTGCAATATAGGTTTTTATTGTATTACATCATGCGTGCACTATGACAGTCCATCTGCTATAGCAATTTGGAATTGATTTTTAGCTCTGCGGATCCTCTCTGGTAATATGTATCCACAATGATTAACCACTTTTTGTTCCTTTCAAGCCACACCAACAGTTAATTCTTTCGTACTGGTTTAAATTCTACCGCTGCACTACTGCGATACAATTATCTCTCATGACTGCACGAGTGTAATGAACTGATGGAAGCAAATGGTTAGTGTGGCTTACTGCTTATGCTTAGAGGGTCTCAGTTTATTATGCATTAACCAACATATCAATTATCTTGCTTATTGTACCAAACAAAGGACAAGCTGAAATAAAGACAACATATTGGCACATCTGTTGACAACATAACATTCTTCATGGAAGATAGTTATAAGTTGTTTTTTATTAACATGCTTTTGTTATTTGGATCATACTTATTTAATATTGCACCATAAACACGAGATGGTGCTATGGCATGTCGCTGAACATCTACAGGACTCTTTTTTAATATTGAAAGTAGAATCTGTAACTGATGAAGTTCTGCTATTTTTTATGCTTGTTAAGTTTATTTGTCTAACAATACCATAAATATTTCCTTTTCTAGGGACTTTTATCTGCTGAAGATCGAATTAGGATGTGTGAGCTGGCTTGCAAAAGCTCCTCCTTTGTGATGGTAGACCCATGGGAGGTGATTCAACATTACTCAATCCTACTACTTTTACAATTTTGTTCCCAGAGTATTTTGATCTACAACATTTATATTTCTCAGAATATTCTTGCTTGTCACAATCTTTGAATATTTAGTATTTATTCCACTTTAGTGATCTAGATACGTAAAACAAATATGTCATCTCATGTCTTGTTAAATTCTACGACTCTTCCTCTTGAATTTATACTGAATACTTAATAATTACTTCTGCTGAATTTTATAGGCTAAACAAAGCAGCTATCAACGTACTCTAACTGTGCTTTCAAGAATTCAAGGTTCCTTGTGCAAGAGCGGGTTTTTTAGCAAAGGTAACAAGCCTATCAAAAATAATGTGTGACATGAATTAGATAATCGATTTTGTTAATTTTGATTAATATTTAAAAGTTTATATAAACAGAAAACTGTCTATCTTGAATAATCTATCTGTATACTAAAGTAAGGCTCTAGATTGCCACTTGGCAACTTCTTAGAGCTTTGATTCTTGATTTTCCATTACAAACAACACCCCTCTCTTTAAATCCACATAATTGTTCAAGCTATTAATTAATTATAGGCTAAATCATAATGAACGGTTAGAATGACTATGAGGAGATGTTTGAGCTTCCCCTGGAGACAAAAGTGAGGAACATACCAATCCTACTTTATCATGATTATATATGAAATATCCCAGACAAAGGGTTATGGGAGCTTGAAGGTTGATAATATTACAGAGTGGAGATGCTGAAGAGTGTTTAGTTCTCATGCAGGATAATGGTGGAACAAAGTTGATGGTATGTATTATTCTTTTCCTTCAGTTTATTATAAAAGAAATATATTTGAAAGGAATAAGCATGCTCTTGGATTTGTTTGGTGGGACCATCTGCCTATAAAATGGAGCCTTTAGCTTTAAGAATTTCATTCTTAGGAACTGTATTGTATGCAAAATGTAAAGGAAAAAAAATTCTTAGAACTATTACGGACGTAGTGTCCTTCCATTGACTCTCTTTTTCCCCCATTCTTTCTATTTTGGACAAGGAACTTGGAATTTAAGTTATGAAGATAATAAAAAATACAAGTTATCATGTCAAGAGTTATGGTAAGATTATTTTATATTATTTTCAATTTCCACTCACTCAATACATTTGGGAGTTTACTATATTTAGATCTAATTTTCTCTATTTTCAATTTAAAGGTTAAAAGTGTGCAATTTGATAAATAAAGAATTTATTAATTTTCAACTCTACACGCCTTAATATGCTGGCTCTGAACATTTACATAGTCATTTTATGAAGGAATGATATAAAAGTGCACTTTCGAAGAGAATGTTGAGTTCAAAATTCGAAGCTTAAATATATTTGGTTAAATGTTTATGATTTGTTAATATTTATTTTTATTTGTACTTCAAATTTAATGAAATCATAAAAAAATCACTCATTTTAACTCAGATATTACGAGTTACATCAGAAAAAAGTATATATTGATAGGTAGCTCTGCAAACTGCCAAAATTGTTCACCAAACTTCTTTCTGAACCTTGAGTACAATAAAATCGTATAGGTTAGTACGAGAGAACTTGAAAACTTGATAATTTAAAGAATAACTATATTTAGGATCGATTTAATTTTTAATAAAAAGTTTATCAAGAAAATTCCCGCAGCATTGCGTGGATATAACACTAGTTACATACATCATATGGTTGCAAATCTTTGTCCATCATAATCACAATACTGAAGTAAAATTCGATGCATGCATAGAGTAAAACCAAGTTGCTAAACTCTTAATTTTCTACTTTTTCCCCATTCATGAAGGAATTTCTTTTTCTTGCAGAATCTCTCAGGGTCATGCTTTTATCTGGTTCAGACCTGCTCGAATCTTTCAGCACTCCGGGAGTCTGGATTCCTGATCAGGTAAATTTCTATCAAAGACATTCTAACTTCTCTACATCCAAATATGTAGAGATTTAGGCATAATTTTCCAGGTCAGGACTATATGTAGAGACTTTGGTGTAGTTTGCATCCGCAGAGATGGGAAGGACATTGGGAAGATAATAGCCAGCGATAAAATATTAACTGCAAACAAGGTACTAAGCTAGTAGACATTGGTGTAATATTGTAATACCATCTTATTCTCTTTTCTAAGTTTATGAAGGTTAATGGTGTCTTTTGATATCAGAAAAATATCCTCGCAGTGGATGAGATTGTGCCAAACCAAATTAGTTCGTCAAAAATAAGGTAATGGTTCTCAAAATTGAGTTAATTGGTCATTCATTTTGGTCCTTTGCATTGATTATGCTTCTTATGATAGGGATTGTATAAGGAGAGGGCTATCGGTGAAATACCTCACTTGTGATGAAGTTATCGACTATATCAGGGAGCATAAGCTATATATGCAGTCCAATGATGATTGATGTTAGAGTCTACATGCTCAAAGGCTATGTACATTTTCCGTGGATTTCTGCATCGGGATGTTTAAAGCCATAATTTGTACGAGAAGTCCAGAGGTGAAAAAGGTTGAATAATCTGAAGCACAAGCCTTTAATAGGATGCTCGTATTTCCTCCTTGTAGTTGAGGAAAAACCTTGAGGATGGAAATGAATGTTCTTATCAATATATACTAATACATGGTTTGGAGAGTGAATATTATTTTTTTTCCCCTATGTTCTTATCAGATATTGTGTTTGTGTATCCATTTCTATACCAATAAATAGCCTTCAAAAATTCGAACCCCCCCCCCAAATAATTCGAACCCCGCACTAAGCTTTTACACAGGGGCTAAAGTGCAAAAGATGAAAAAAGCAAACAATATGGCCCATGCAGGTCTCGAACCTGCGACCTTCGCGTTATAGCACGACGCCTCTAACCAACTGAGCTAATAGGCCTTAGCGTTTGAGGTTAATTTTATAATCAAAAAATGGTTTTAATTATGGGCTCTTAATTCATGGGTCAAAGATGATTCCACTCTGCACTAATCAAAAGATGATGGCGCTAGCTTTACAGTTGTAAGGAACCTTAAAAGCTTCTCTATAAGCCTTTCTGGGGAATGATCGCAGTAGTGCATGATGCTTACTTGTATGTCACCAACTTTGCTTGCTTGCTTGCTTGCCATTAGCTTTGCATTATCCAACAATCACGTGAAAAAAAATGCATTTATTATTCTTATTCTTATTCTTATGTTTGGTTCATTAGTAAAAAATAGGAAAGGAACATAATAAAGGATAAGTTGTATTAACGGGGTGTCAGAATTCGAACCAAATTTCGCTCAATTTGAGAGTATCATGTGTTTTTGTGGGGTGAAATAAATGAGATCGGAGAGAGGGTGAAAATTTCACCCCCGATGAAGAATCTGACAAGCCCACGCGCGCGCCTTGATGCAAACGGACACGTGGCGAATTTCTATTGGGCAAGCTTTATTTTTTTCCTCCTTATTTTTATTTGATATTTTTTGAGATAAATACAATGAATTAATTTATAATTTTTATACCATTAATTTTCATTTTTCAAACTCTATAAATAGAGACTAACTTTGTGTCATTTGGACACAAAAAAAAATCTGAGTTTCTACACCCTATTCTTCTTCTTTCTACAATTTGAAGCTAGTTTCTTCATGGATCCTTCACAAAACTATCCTAATTTTTCCTACAACTACAACTTTCCTAACCAACCTCAAAATACCCTCCCTCAACCACAACATCCAAATATACAACGCCCCGAAAATACTCAAAATACGGGGATGCAGCCCAATTTTCAAATGCCGTATATGATGCAACCAAATTTCGGCATGCAATATCCTTATCTTCCTTACGGTTATCCTCCAGTTCCGGGAAGCAGCTATGTTCCCTCCCATATGAATTGTCCTAACACGGAGTCGAGTGAGCCAGCGACACCCCGGTTTAGTAGCGGATCTACAGATATCCCAGAATTTTCTACCCAAATGTCTTTGGGAAATGTTGGTGGGGATACTCCTCACAGTTTTCTCCCTCCAACCCAACAATCAGCAAAGAGATCAAGTTATGAAACTTGGACCACCGAAGACAACATACTTTTACTAACTGGTTATTTTCACGTTAGTAATGATAGTGAGTTGGGGAACAACCAAAAGGGTGAAACTTTCTGGGGTAAAATTACACAGTACGTGAATGAGAACGCCAAAAGTGGAAAGGAGAGGATTGTGTCTCGGTGCCATAGTCATTTCAAAGACATCAACAGAAAGATATCCAGTTTCATTGGCTGCTACAGTACTGCATGTAGGGAGAAGCGTAGCGGTTGGTCCGATGAAAACTACATATCCAAGGCAAGAGAGTTGTACTTTGAGAAAATGGGTACGACGTTTAATTTGGTGGATGAGTGGAAGGTGGTTCGTAATCAACCCAAATATATGACAGGAGGAAATGCATCCGGTAGTAGTGGCTCTAAAAGAAAGAGTAGTGGTGAGGATGTTGAATCATCAACTCCTACCCTTGTACGTCCAGAGGGTAGGGACGTGGCAAAGAAGAAAGCTAGAGGTTCCTCTAGTAAAACATCTGTGTCAAGGAAATCAAAGGGGGCAATTGAGGAGGAGTTATCTAAGCTAGTCAGTGCCCATGAAAAATTTGAAGAGAAAAGATCAAGTACTGCTTCAGCTATGAATAACATGGCTCATTCCAAGAATATGGAGATGTGGTTATTCTTGAAAAACAAACCAGATCATGACGATGAAGATGAAGAAGCTTATAATATGTTGAGGAAGAACCTGTTTGGAAAATAAGACCTTCTCAGGAAGTTATGATTGTGTGTTTTCTTTCTGATGTTTTTGTGTGCCGTTTGTTTAATTTTGGAGTTGTGTGGGTGCCTATGTTTGTTGAATGTATTAATAAAAGTGTTGTTTATGTTTGAATAAAATTGTTGTTTATGGTTCAATAAAGCCGATTGATATTGACTTCTCACTGCATAATAGTACAAAAGATACAATTACTACTCACTGCAAAAACAAACAAATGTTGAATTGACCTTTCACTGCAAAAAATACAAAGGATGAAATGACTACACCTGCATAATAATACAAAATATGAATTGACAACTCTCTGCACATGCATGCCCTATGACACATGTCTCTACAATTGCATGTGAATTCAATTATTTGAACAACTACCCTTCATTATATAAACTGATCAAATGCACATCATAAGTATACCTATCAACATTTCAAAAATCATAGCATCCAATGGATCCTTTCCTAAATGAGTTTAGTCTAGAAGAGTTCCAACAACAATGGGAAATAGAAGAAAAAATACTTGATAGGCAGCGAGAACTTCTTGAAGAATTGCAAAGGAGAAGCGAACAACCACGTAAGAGGAAATCCATACATAGAGATCATCATGTAGCGCATGAGAGACTCATGGCCGACTACTTTGCCGAGTCATGCACTTACACTGACTCCCAGTTCTGACGCAGGTATCGAATGAAAAGGCCTCTCTTTCTACGAATTGTGGACTCTATATCAAATTACGACGATTACTTCACACAACGGCGCAATAATGCGGGCAAGCTTGGGTTAACGCCTATCCAGAAGTGTACGGCTTCCATACGCATACTCGCATATGGAGTCGCAACCGATGCTTGTGATGAGTACGTCAAGATAGGAGAATCCACTGCTATCGAGTGTACTCGCAAGTTTTACGAAGGGGTAATAGCATTGTTTCAAGATGAATACTTACGACGACCAAATGTGGAAGATTTGCAGAGGTTGCTCCAAGTTGGATAGGAACGTGGATTCCCAGGGATGATTGGAAGTATTGATTGCATGCACTGGCAGTGGAAAAATTGTCCTAAGGCTTGGCAAGGGCAGTTTACTAGTGGACACAAGGGGACGGCAACAGTTATCCTCGAGGCAGTTGCGTCATATGATTTGTGGATATGGCATGCTTTTTCAGGGCTTCCTGGTAGTTTGAATGACATAAATGTACTAGATAGGTCACCGGTTTTTGACGACATTGAGTCTGGTGAAGCTCCACGGGTAAACTTCACAGTGAATGGGCGGGAGTACAATATTGCATACTATCTTGCCGACGGAATCTACCCTAAGTGGCCTGTCTTCGTGCAGTCAATTCAAATGCCCCAAGGCAACAAACATCAATTTTTTGCCAAACAACAGGAATCATGCAGGAAGGACGTGGAACGCGCATTCGGGGTACTCCAAGCACGCTTCGCTATTGTCCGCCAACCAGCTAGAATGTGGGATCTTGATGTCTTAGGAAAAATAATGAGGGCGTGCATTATTTTACATAACATGATAGTAGAGGATGAACGAGATACGTATTCGCGAAACTGGGAAAATATCGACTTTGAACCGTCGAACAATGCTAGCTCTAGCGCCTCTTTCAATGTTCAAACAGACGTGTTGCCGGAGTTTCAAGTCCATGTTCAACACCGATCTGAGGCAGATAATCAGACTAGAGCGGAACTACGAGATAAGACCCAACATATTCAGCTGAAGAAGGATCTCATCGAGCACATTTGGCAGAAGTTTGGGACAACCTCCGATTAGATTTACCAATTTAGTGTGTGTTTTCTGGCATGTTTTTAATAATTTGGGTGTGTTTGGTTTTCCGTATGCTTAATAAAATCGTGTGTTATTTTATGTTAACATAAAAATATTATTGAAAATTAAATTAATAATATATATTTAAATATTATATATTATTTATTGAATTATTAATAAATTATAATGATAAATATATGAGTTATATTAATAATAATAATAATAAAATAGTAATATATATGAAATAGGAAAAAGAATGAATAAATATGGTGGGGTATATGTTGAAGTGAAGTGGTTTATGGTGGGTCCCAAATAAAGTAAAAAACTTTCTGAAAAATCTCCTGCTGTAGAGTTGATAGGGAAATGAAGATTATTGAATTAAATAAAGTGATGTGGCAGGAGAGAAGGAGGTGAAATTTCACCTCCTGCTGGAGATGGTCTAAAGTCAAAATGAACCGATCTTAAGAATAGGATAGGTTGAAACAACTTTTAGGAAATTCTAACACTATTTATTCCATTTCCTTCCACATTCTATAAAATTGGTCGAACGAACAAACCCTAAGTTGATCCAAGAGCGAATCTATATTGAGCGTTAGGGGGAAGTTACACTTCTAACGATCTCAGAAAAATATTTTAAACGCTTCAAACATTGCAAATTGTCCCCTGTTGTTAAAAGAAATTGTATTTCAATCTATGTTTTATATAACAAATCAACAAACAGGTAGGTCATGTGTCCCTCTAAGAAAGTTTTTTTAGATCTATCACTAACATAACTTTTACCGGAATTTTAAATATTAATTATTATTCTTTGCTATATGAAAGCAAATTTCCGATTAAAGGAGAAACCGAGAATGGTGAATTGTAGAAAATCTTAGGTTTAATATTGTGTTATATTCTTTTAGTTTATTGTTGATGTCATTTGTCAAACAATTGGTTTATCTGTGGATTATGAGGGGTGTTAGGGTCCTCAAGCTTCCTCAGACGACTGGTTCCTGAGCCAGAAGTCCTATTCTGCACATGAAGAACTCGTGAGAGGTCGAGCTAGGATCTCCTGTGGTTCCTCCGGCGATCAAGTCAGTTCAGAGCTTGAGTGGAGAAAAAAGAGTTCAAGTTTTTAGCGAGAAAATTGGTTAGCATCATTTAGAATAGCTTACCCTTAGCAGCAAACATCAGTTCCCTTTTATAGGAGATCAGAAGGGTAGATAGGTAACTTCGGCCAACTCAAGCTGGCGGCTCAGTCATCATCTACTTTACAGGTGTCAGCCGCTGAGAGGGGTGAGTCACTCAGGCATTTGATGTGAGGGTGACAAGATGTGCATAGTGCTGACGTGGTCCGATGAGTCATAAATACTTTTAGGGCTGAAGCAATGATGATTCTAATCATGCATTTAAGGTGATGGCAATTGACTATTGGTGGGAGACTCGAGGATTCACAGCCTTCTGACTCGTCTCACTGGAGGCCAACAAACACCGTCTTTTTAATCAGCCTCGTAGGTTGTCGGCCTGGAAGGGCCGAGTGCTGATAGGGAGTAGGGCTGACTAGAATGGTAGGCCGAGTGAGGATGTTTCTCATCTCGATCTTGTAAGTAGGTCGACAACTACCACCTTTTTTGTCGGTCTCGCAAGTTGTCGGCCTGTTGGGTCGATTGCTGGAGTTGCTCGAGTTGTTCCTCTTCGAAGATGGCTTGATTAGGCACAGGACGGGACACATGTCGGCCCCCAATGGTGATCAACACTCAACTATTTGCATGCTATAAAGTAGTCCTTCCATTCGAACTCGGCTGGTCGAGTTCGAGTGAAATTTGAACAGTTGTCGGTTAGTGACACCCAAGGCGCATTTATGAAGAAAGGGACAAATCACTGTTGATGTGATCGTCTGACGTCATTGGAGATCGTGTGCAATCGTCACCTCGTTTCCTAAGCTAGATGGCTTGTCAACCAAAGGACAGCGCTTTGGTTCCCATGTAGTTTGTTCGACTTCCAAGGTTGATCTTAGCCGTCTGTTTTTGACCAAGTCGGTCATGTACATCTATGAGCCTATATATATCTCATTTTTGTGGAGAGGCTTCGTTTATGAATTCTTTGAACTCTGAATTCTGAACCCTAGCTCTCTACTTCAAGCGGTTTTTGACCAACACTCTGACGATCGTTGATGGCTTCTGCTGCTTCCACCGCCGGCTGCAACGAGGTGAGGGTTAACCTCCTTAGGACATTCCGCTTGAAGCTCTGTATAACGAAGCTCGAGGCCTACTACGACAATTATGATCTCCCTCGAGCATTCACCTCGTCGATGCCGGAGATGGCTCAAGCTATGTATGATCATAGTTGCATGATGGCTTTGATCTACCTGCAGCACTTGGAGTATGGGCTCTGACTATCGCTACACCCCTTCCTCCGTTGTGTCTTTGAAACTTTAGGGGTGTCTCCTTCATAAATCAAGTCAAACTCCATCGCCATATTGGTGAGGTTCATAGTAATCTGCCATCGGGTTGGAGTCGACCCAACCCTGTGCATACTCGGCCTCCTCCTTAGTGTCAAGACATGATAGAAGGAGGGGCACTACTACATTTAAAACTTGGGTGGTTTCAACGTCATCTCGATCGCTCCCGACTCGAACAAGACTAGAAGGAAAAATTTATGTGGGTCTTCAGAGCTGACCTCACCTTATCTTGCTTGGTCTAGCTCGAGATCAAGAAAGATGTGCTAAAGTCAGGTCTACTCATGGCTGAGGAGAAACAGGGGCTCGAGATGATTTGAGCCTATGCTAGTTCTCAAAGGATCGAGAATTTGTTTAAGCCCCTGGGTCTACGAATGGCCCGCATCTCCAGAACCCCACTGTCCACTGACAAAAGAAGATAACATTCGAGCAGTGATCCTAACTCTACCACTAAAGGAGTCGAACAAGACGTAGCTGAGGTCATTAATTAGGCCCCAAAAGCGCATGCGATCCGAGTTCGCCCCTTCGAGGCTAAGGAAGTGGTAGCAAATGCTGTTGAGATTGTAGCTTAGCTGACTGGGCTAAGTGCTACTACTACTCAGGCTAATAGGTCTGAGAAGAAGAGGAGAAGGCTGCGGAAGGTGAGCGGCTGAGGTCCTTCTAGGAGTGATGAGCCAACTCGAACTGGTATGGGGGGAGTAGCAGAGGCAGTCACTGCCATCCCCATTCAGAAAGTTGGTCAACATCCCCCTTCTGCTCCAAGCATCCCTCCAACTGAGCCATCGTAGGTCGTCTTGGCCCTTAACCGATACTATTGGCGATGCTAGTGGTACTGGTGCGTGCTGTTGCTGATGATGCTGAGGTTGTGGTCGTGGAGGTCTTTGTGGCCCTAACTGCCGCCTTATAAGCTCGGGCATCCTCCGTGTCCATATACCAATGAGCTTTGACCATCAGCTATTCATAATTGACGATCGGCTTCTTAGCAAGTGAGTCGGTCAATTCGTTGTTTTGCAAGCCAGCCATAAGAACGGACATAACAACTGCACTCCCCAGGTCATTAACCTCCAGACTCTTCGCCTGGAACCTCTTGAAGTAGGCTCGAAGGCTCTCTTTGGGCTCTTGTCTCATTAGATTAACACATGAGGGGGCATCTTCTATTTGGTGTCAGCCAAGAAGTTATGGATGAACTTCCGACTGAGTTGTTGGAAGCTGTTGATGGACTTTTTCTCAAGGGCGTTTCACTAGAGCTTGGTTCTCTCTGACAGAGTGATGGGGAAGCATCTGTAAATAACTGCTTCTGATGCTTGGTGCATGCTCATTACACTATAATAGTTCTGGACATGCTTGGAGGGGTCTCCTTCGCCCTTGCACTTCTCCACGCGAGACATCTTGAACTTCTCACATGGGGTATTCATGAAGTCATCAGAAAGGGGGGTGTCCCCCCCCGATGGCTTCTGCAATCGGTATGTACACCCAATCGTATCAAGAGGCTCCCATGATAACACAGGGGGGCAGAGAGGCATGGTGGTGGGAGAGAGTTTTAGAGACTGCTACCCTAATGTGATCTCCAGAGTGACTAGGGTCGGGACTCTCACTAGGAACTTTAGGATCAGGGAGGAGGCGTCAGCGAGGTTCTCCGGGGTGAGTCGACCGATGTGGTGGTAGGGCCGCGTGCTTGACATGATCCCTTTGCTGTTTGGTAGCAACATGAGGAGTTCAAGGCGGAACTATTCATTAGGCTCCATAAGGGGGGTGAGTCCCCGATCGTTGGTCTTCAGAAGGCGGAGGGATAACGAAAGTGGCTTGCCATGGCTATGAGAACCAGCTGAGGAGCTCGCTGGTGAAGGTAGCAAGTTGTTATTGGAGGGATTGAGAGATCATTTAAGCTATTTCTTTAAGATAAGCTTGAGTAACGTAGCTCTGGTGCAGTCCTCTAGGGTTAGGCTGATTAGCCCTATATTCAGAACTAGACATATTGCTCAAAAAAGAAAAAGGCCCCACGGTGGGCACCAAACTATTGATGGTTTAAATCACACAGTTAAAAGAGGAGATGGGTAAGGATTGGGTTGATATGGGGATCACTCGCTTTTTTGAATATCTAATTTGGAGTTGGGTTGTTCGTCCATGCATGTGTAACAAGTCGTAAGAGTACAGGGACTGGTTCCCTATTGTACCTCCGATGATCAAGTCAGCTAGGGGCTTGAGTGCGAATATGAGAAAAATACAGCGGAATGGAGAAAGATGCTGAGAAATTGTCTATCTTTGTATTTGAAATAGTTTTCCTTTTTATAGGCAAGTAAGAGGGGTAGTCTAGTTTTTTGGACGAGTCTGAGCTGGCGGTTGAGTCAGCTTCTACTTTACAGGTGTCAGTCGTGGATCGACTATATGATGGGCACTGTCATTTCACCATTAATGACATGCGATGGGTGGCGCACGAAACCGGCATGGTTTGATGTGTCATAAATAGTGTAGGGGTGGAGAAATGATGGCGCCTCCCGAGCATTTAATGCGACACCGACGTACTGTCAACTGGGGAGGTTCGAAGTTAAAGTCATCCTTTGGCTTGTAG